TTCTGAGTGTACGCGACTATTTGCGTAGTTAGATCTACAGTGAGGGTATCTGGTATATATATTATACTATATATATGTATATTATAATTATCCGTTATGATATTCTTTTATATCGATCAGTAGATTCCGACCGTATTCTTGCTGACCTTTATTTCTTTTCGTTAGTATGTTCGTAACGTAGTCGTCTGGCGCGCTCTTTTTTAGTTATGATTACTAACTATACTCAGGTAGTGTCTCTGGCATTTCAGCTATATATATACACATTTACATATACTATATATCATACATACATATATTTTATACATCCTATCATCTATCTACTCCAATTTTCTATCGTATCATGTATACATCGTGTTACGTAATTACGTATAGATTCGTATATATATATATACATGGGCGTCTGCTGACTCTTTCTTATAGTAGATATTCCGACTCAGGTGATCTGGCGCGCTCTTTCGTTAGTAGATTACTGACTGTAGGTCTGTCCGACTTCTTTTACGTCTTAAGTAGATTTCGTACAGGTACGACGCTCTTTGGCTATATATAAGCGACTCTTTCTACTTAGTATTATATTCGACGGCTGATCTGCTCATACCGTACTAATTTTCATTTTTACGTTACGTAGTTCGACTGGGGCTTCATGGTGTATTATATATATATATATATATATATATATATTATATATTATATATTATACTTATATACGTGATATTCTTCGTTATAGTAGATAATATCGACGGGATCTTGAGCGCGATCTTTGTAGTATATTTACTGAACTGGCGTTACTGACGGTATACGACTATTTATCGTTAAGCATATTCTCGCATGGTGCGCTGCGCTAAGATCATTCTTTTCGTAGCTCTCATGATTCTACGGTGCGTTATCATTGAGATGCTAGTTATTCATTTTATGTAAGTATAATCGTAGCTAGTGCGATTTTTGGCGCGATCTTACTTCGTTACAGTTTAGAGATTTCGCGGCGTCGTGGCGCGTAATTCTTTCCGTTAGTAGTCGACGTGTGCTATATACGTATTCTGAAGCGAATTTATTATTAGTATATGAGCTAGTATTACTATACGGGCTGTTTTTAGCGGCGAATATCTTTAGTTATTAAGATTCGACTCGAGTAGCGTCTGCGTGTATATCTATTTTATACGTAATTTATGTGATTACGTATAGGGCGCTCTTGGTGCATCATCTTCGTAATATATTCAGTGAGTACGTCATTGGTGCGCAGGCTTCATTTTTAGTGTGGTTCGGCTGGAATCTAAATGATAAATAATCTATGTATTACGTGGTACTGTATATAGTAGCTAATAAGGGGAGGAGTGACTAATACTTTAAGTGATAAGTTTAATCTTTTCTTAACAGTGAAACGTTTACTTACGTGTAATTTCCGCCACTCTAAAAGACCAGATAGTTACATAGAATAGTAGGTCATGCGGGAGTTGAATTGGCTGAATAATTGAAAGAGAATCTTATGTATTATGAATTGTGTGATATTTTACTGAAGAAGACCTACGTTTAAAGTGAATTATTCGAATACGTTTACGCTTTATTCATAATTCTCTAATGTGAGACTGTTTAATTTTCGTTATTATATTATATGGAATATATATTTAATATATTATTAATTATATTATATTATATACATATATTATATATCTATTATATAAATATTTATTATATATAGTATTAATAATATATAATATATATTATATATATTTATATACTAGTATATATCAAATATATTTATATATATGGATATATTATATATAATTTAATATATACTTATTTAATTATATTATTTATATATATATTAATATATATTAATATATATATATTATATTATTATATATTTACATATGTAATTATATATAATATATGTTATATTATATATATATTATTTACTATATTATTATATATATATAATAATCTATTAATCCTATATACATATATATATAATAATATATATTTATCAACTCATTAATACATTAAATATCAATTAATCATACTACGCCATCATATATGCGGTCAGATATCGTGTGTAGCCAAAAATGTAATCCAGTCTAAATAGATGAATACTTTAAGCAGTATGCAATCTCGAGAAATTAGAAATGTAAAGCGCATCGTATAATTATCAGCTTGAGACAAAAACCGAAAATGGATTTTCGGTTTTTTGTTGGGGAACGTCGAGAAGGAGTTTACGAAAAACGTTTACGATTATTTTTCTAAATTTTCCATTTTTGGCTTTTCATTTTAGCATATTTGAACTATGTATTTATAGGTTATTTTGTATGTAACGTTTATACATTTAGTATACATGTTTAATGTAGTAATGTGTTAATCAATTTCTATGCATAATGTATTGGTGAACAGCACTAATATAGACAATATAACATGTAAGCAAAGTAAACATGCATATTAATTAATATATCGCAGTATTTAAGTAATATATATGTTATATTAATAGTGTTGTGTAACTAATTACTTATATATAGATGTATTATAATATTGGATAGAACAAATACAGATAAAACAGAATAGACTGTAATTAAGTAAATATAGATAAGTTGCGTATATAAAATAATAAACAGATAGATTATATGATAATTTAAATATTATAAATGTATAAGACATACAAAATACCATTAATATACCACATCCTACACAGACAGGATTCGGCATATTTAACAGATAGATACATAGATTAATAGACGCATTGTACGATAAAATAGCATCTACAACAATCTTAGAAGAGGTTGATTAGAAATACTAGGTGTTATTGGAAGTGCTGTATATTATCATATTATCATTAATGAGAGAATCCAAAATAATGTATATTAATATTTATTATGGACATAATATATTACTATTGTGATAAACTCTTAGGAATTTATTAGAAATATTATCTTTCAAATAGAATTTAATCAAGACATTAAAATCAGAGCATTTAATACATTCTTGATTAAAGCAATTTACCAATAATTAAATATATGTGTAATGTTCCTATAATTATAATAATATTTCATATACAGACAGGTAGTGATAATCATTTATCGAGTTGATCTGTGTTATTTGTAACAATTATGCTAATAAAGAAAGCACAACAAAGATGGTAAATTTAAATCCAATAAAACATATGTTTTACAAATATCAGATCTACTCTTCAACAGGATTGTAAAATTTTTCATTAAACAGTTCGAGTATAAACTTAGAAACTACATATTAATTTACTACTACGTTTTGAAATAGGTATTTATTAACAGGCTATATATAGTCAGTACAATATCTGCGTAAGTATAGTATGTTTATATGTATATATTTTTGAAGTTCTTTGTTGATTCAAGGAGAATTGCACATTTCCAGCTGAGTATTAATCTGTCAGCTATTGTTACTTGAGTAAACTAATAAAAAGTGTATTCTTAATAATGAAAAAAAAAAGAAAAAAAAAGTAATCATTATCTCTCCTCAACAGTAGAAATTGTACTGCCGTTCCGAAGAACCACCATCACATGAACAAAATTTACAAGAACTATACTGAAAAACTGAGGAAACAAAACATGGTTGCCATTTAAACCTACTAGAATATAAACCATATATATTTCCACGAAAGTATCCCCCATAATCTCACCTAACCTAATCTCATCACTTCTAGCGGTATTATCAGCGATAAAATTCTAAAGAGGTATTCAGGTCTTCTTACACTCTACTTTGTACGTTTAGTACCAATCTGGACCTTGAAAGTATTACAAGAACTGAAGAAAAAACTAAGGAAATGTATAATTTTGGTTGCTCTTGGAAAGCTTAAAAGTATCTATAGGCAAGAAATAAAAAGAAAAATGTGAGAAGATAAATGAAACTAAAAAGCAAGTGCAATTCAAGCTTGTCTATCGATTTTTATAAATCAATTTTAGATAAGACACCTGATCCAAAAAAAAAAGCAAAATAGAAATAATATCAATAATAAAGATGATAATAAAAATAATCCATAAAAATGTTAGATTCAACAAATAGATGAATAAATAAACAATTTAATACAGAAACATACTGTGCAGAGAGCATGCCTTTTAAAAACGGCAATTACCAAGTTCAAGTTTAAACCTATTTCTTATTGAACATTGCATCTGATTGCATTATTGCATCAAAGGGAGTGAATAAAAAGACAAAAAGGAAAAGAAAAGTAATTATCTCAAAAAGAGAGAGAGAGCGAGAACAAGAGCGAGAGCGAGAGCGTGAGAGAGAGTGAGAGCAAGAGCGAGAGAGAGAGAATATGAATCATCCCGTAAATCAGCACCAACAACGCATTTCGTTTCCTCCCATTTTCTTCGATTCCCCATTTCCGTGGAACGCTTGGCCTAGAATTCATGCTGCCAATTTAGTGAAGGATCCTGTTTACCAGCCAATTATTTACATGCTTTCTCCTTTGCCCGCTCGCTCGCATAACTGAAATTTAATTGGTTCAAAGGACTTAGATAAATCATTTGAAGTTCAATTAACTACAAAAAGAAAAAATTAAGGAAAATAATCATTTTAGCAATTATTTCATTTTTGCTGAAACTATAAGGTATAAAATCCCAATGGACATAATGTCTCTTTTGTACCTATCATATCAATAATAACCTTAAACAAAAAAAATAAAATAAAGAATTCAATAGAGTACAATAATTATTATTTCTTTTTTGAAGCGGAAAGCAAGAAGCAAATCTCTGTCAGTATGAAGCATAAATCTTAAAAGTGCATTTTACATTTTTGCAAACGTGTTTTCTTGTCAAATGAATTTCTTTTATCAAAATATACAATACTTTTCCTTATTTATTCTTTGCTTTTATATTCCACAGCTTACTATAACTCTATAGCTAATAGGGAAGGACTAGTATAATGCTAATATAAAATTTGCAGTCTCGTATTAAAAAGAAAAATAAATAGTTAGGTTAAAGCGCTAAATTCTATATCAATATATGAACATATCAGTAATAAAAGGAAATAATGGAAACAAGTAAAACACAAAGTATGTACTCAAATAATACAGTACATAAATATATGTGTATTTTGTGTCTAGTCAGAGGTGTGTGAGGGTAGGGGTGAGGGCGAGGGTAAATGTCCGACTGATAGCGAGAGAGTGAGAATGAGAGCAAGAGTGAGAATGAATGTGTGAGTGCATGTGTGCATAATTGCATATGCACATGTGTGAGAAAATTTGTGTGTATACATGTTTCATTATATAGAAACTCTGGTAATAATTATTTCCCATAACTTTTCTATTCTATATGTAATCTTTTTCAAATCTACTTTTGTTCTTGTCTGTGATCTGCTAATGTTATTTTGTAAAAGTATCTATTTCTTCATTTGTACCAACTATCAAAACAATAAAAAAGCAGAAAAAAAAATCATGCACATATTACTAAGAATTCTAAATTATTAAATACTTAAAATACTTAATACTGAACTGTATTCATGCCATTTTTAACTAAAGAACTTAACTTAACAGAACAATATAAAGAAAAAGCAAGTCATACTAACGTTACCTCTTTCATGCAGTATGTACAAAGGGCAATGGAAATGTAATGCACATTAGTCTCCGTCCAGGAACTCCTCATTCCTCCAACAACATCAAACAAGAACTAGGCATGCTATTAAGTTCCAAATACACAAAAAAAGGTCAACAGCGACAGTTGAGATTAATAAGCCTTCAGGTGCTAAACACATCCAGAGTGAATGATAAAACCTACAATAATCAAACACATTTAATATTCAGTTTTTCCTTGAGCTCTCTTTTGAAATACAATGTTTTCCATTTACTATTGTAGGCATTATCATTTCAAAAAGCTGGACTTGTATCTTTTTTCCACACCACTAGAGACTGGTTAGTACAAACATGTCGCAGAAGAAAATGGAAATGGAGAGAGTTTTCTTAAATATTTGCATACCTTTCTATTTCAGAAAGAAAAAAAGAATTAAGACGTTCTTCCTCATGTCACACCATTTACTTGCAATAAAATCCATGTAGATATTCCTCTCCCCCATAAATTTTGGACTTTTTAAATACACATTGCAATCAATCATAATGATGTGCAATATAAACTGAATTTAAAAACACAAAAAAATCAGTACTTTCAGAAGGTCACAGGATAGATTCAGGAGGGGGGGGTGTTTTAACATTAAGAGGGGGAGGGGACTGGGACAGCAATTCATTAATTCTTTAAAACTAGCTCCTGACAGATGCTAAAATGAGGGGGTGGGGACCTCTGAAAATTGAAAACCCCTTATATCCCGCCATGGTGATACCTTTAGAAGTGTGTCGTGCAGTGTATTACCAAGCCCAATCATGAGACTGCCTGGCATATACCTTAAAAATAGTAATCAACACCAAAAATAGTCATGTATACTAAAGTAAATATGTTTTGATTCATTGTTCTGTATTCTCATTACAGCCAGTGAATACCAGAATTCATAAATAAATCTTGCATTTTGCCTATATGACCCATTTCCATTTTCTTTACTACAACTTTCCGACTTGAAATAAACTAGGGTTATGAATGGGTTACAGAGTTGCCGGTGCTATTCCTACAAGAAGCTCAACCACGAATGCCGTGAGTTGCGTGCAGACTTCCTATTCTCTGAAATGGCCATCTTACTCTGGTTGTCTTGAGGTCTAAGCACTCGTTCAAGGACTGTGTTTATTGCCTGTATCCATCTCGCTCTCTCATCTGACGTCGGCGCTGACATGACGTAGGTCCGTTCAGGGGTGGTCAGGGAAAAGGAGAAATCTTGGTCTTTACAACCCCTGGGAGCACCTTCTTTAATACTGTAGTTGTCATCCTTGTGGCCCAGGAAGATTTCTCCTCGAGGATAGGCATCCTTCAAAATAAAAGACAATTTTAATAATCTTGCTAACAATGGGGAAAATTGCTGTTGTGTTTGGGTAAAATGTGACATATGATTAGAATTAACTTGGTTACGTATAAAATCTGAAGTAAAATATCAATAAAGGCCTAAAACTAATACAGTGGTATAGTAACTTTCCATACAAATATGCTTTACTGGGGAATTTCTAAGAAAATTAATCCATTTTGGTTAAACTCTCCTTAGTGCCACTGTCAAATTTCCACATTAACCTCTTGCACTCACTAATGCCCATGATAATTATGGCACTTAGATGGACTTTTTCTTTACGTGATCCTTTCAGCACAGATGATGCTAGATTGGATTGCTCATTTTGGGAGGGTTGTAGGTCCAGGTACAAACAGATAGACAACCAAAACTGAGACAGATAGATAGAGATGGAGGCAAAGAAAAAGAAATTAGGTAAAGAAAAGAGACAGAAATAGAGATTGAGACAAGAGATTCAGAACAAGATCAAGACCTAGAGAGATATACAGAAACATATATCAAGACAAAATCAAGTTTCATCACTAAAAAGAAACTTACCATTGGCCCCTCATGGTACATCAATTTGCGGTCATCCAGGATAAACCATCTCTTTCTGTAGGCATCCCTCTCACTCGGACCTGTTTTCGACAGCCATCCCTCAATAACAAAGTCTGTTGTTAAGTACGGCACCAACTGTAGATGAAACACAGACAAAAAATTCAATTCTGCAAGTCTTAAAAACATTGATGTATCCTGATGTATTGACAAAAACTGCAAAACAATAATCAATCATTCTGATCAAAAAAAAAATCATGGGTTTGATATGACGAAAAAATAAATAAATAAAAAATGGAATTACTCCATTTCTTATGTTTCATAAACTGTAATACTTCTTTCCAAGCACTAGAAAAATATATAAATGAAGAGTTAAAACACACAAAAGTGTACAACTACTAAGGAGAGATATCAAGAGATTTAGGATAATCAGTAAAAAATTAGCAATATCCAAAATTATAAATACTCTTGACATACGTTAAAACAGCGTGTTCATTGCAAGCTAGGAACATAAAAAAGCAAAAGAATAATCATTATCCATTCTCGAACTAGACACACATAAAACTTGAACGAAAGACCTCACAAACTACTCGGACAGCTCTGCAACCTAAAATACAAAAATAAATAGCAATATAATAATACTAGCCTCTTCTGCACTGGCACTAGGATAGGCCACCATCAGCCAATTTAGTTTTATGGATCTAATAGCTGTGTACCAGTGTATAATGGTCTCTCCGCTTTCGTGGTAAACATAGATGTGTCTTGTGGATCCCTCGCACATGTAGGATAGCTGGAGACCATTTTCTTGGTTCATTTTACTCGGGGCCAAACAAACGTTCAGCTCTGAGAGGTTTATGGTTGCTTTTGGTTCCTTTGCATTCTGGAAAATTTGCGAAATACATTCATACATATATTGAGTCTTTTCAGTACATAAACACAATACAATAAGTATGGACATCTGATCTAAAAGACTGGATTCAAATAATTCTCTTGTTATGGCGTATGTCTGTAGAGTAAATCACATCAGCATCAATCATGATATAAAACATCCCTTATGATATATATTTTGTAAGATAAACCCAATAAACTTTAGGGGAAAAAAACTAATATCAAGATACTGATGAACTTACCTCTTTACTAAAATACTTTAATGTATTATCTGCAAGGACAAATTTTCGGGGGAAATATTTATTTTCATCTCTTGCTCTCTTCATTAACGTCCCTTCCAGATAGCTTCTAAT